AAGCCCCAGTGATCAATTATTTGTATTACAGTAGCCCTTGGACACTTCAACCACAAACACTCAGGGCAGTCTCCAGGCCCACCGATGGGCGGAGCTAAATGGGGCAGTTGCCCTAGGGTCCAACGATTCAAAAGGGCAGGGGGCTTCTGGTCGCTTTATATCACTGCTGGAGCGCTGCGCGGCACACTCCGGGTGACTCTTAGGGTTGGCGGAGGAGCAGGGGGAGTACAGAGTAGCATGCTCCAAGAAGTGCTGAGGGCAGCCCCGCCTCTTTCACCCGAGGCCCCGCCTCTTTCACCCGAGGCCCCGCCTCTTTCACCCGAGGCCCCGCCTCTTCCAGGAGCACGGAGCTGGCTCCCACCATTTTGCCCAAGGGTGGCCCTACAAATCTATTGACCTTTGGCAAGTCCCTGTCCTGATGTGTTACCATAGAAACAGAGTGTAGGTGGGGAAAGAGAAGGAAGCAACTTGCTCCAGGTCAGGCCAGAATGTCCTCGACTCATCAGCCAGCGCTCTACCTCCTAGACCGCACTCCCTCTTCCATTTTGATCAGCTCCCCTAACCAAACAATTCCAGCACGGCCAGCCCTGATGCACTGCCCTTTCGCTCTGCTCCCCTTGCTGCCTGCATTCGGGTGGGGGGGGACGACCAAAGAGCAGGTGCTAGGTGATCAGATAACAGGTATGAAAAATTGGTACACAGAGTGGAGGGTAATAGGCCTCTCTGTAAGACAAAGCCCAGAGTAGGGGGACTGTCCCTATACAATTGGGACAGCTGGTCACATTAGTGCTCAGATTAATGACAGTTTGCTGAGGTTCCCTTGGACCAGAACCTCTCCCCCCCCCCACCTCCCCCCTGCCGTGTCTCTGCCCCCTCCAGCCGCTGATTATCAAGAGGTAAGGCCTGTACAGGATCATTGTATTACAGTAGCAGCTGCAGCCCCATGGTGTTAGGTGTTGTATATTCACATTGCCCAAGGAATGTCCCCCCTCCACCAGCAGGGCAGACAAAAGGGAAGAAATGTATCCCCATTTTACAGATGGGGAACTGAGGCCCACAGAAATGAAGGGGCTTGCCCAGCATCACACAAGGAGTTGGCTGCAGAGCCACTACTGAGCCTCCTGAAGTGTTTTCTTTAGAGTAGTTAAAAGCTGCCCCTGAGCTGCTCACGCAACTCCCTGGGTATCAGTAGGGCGACACGAGCATAACCCAGGTCCCTAGTGGTGGAGAGAATTCAAATCACCCACGTCCATATTGTCTAGTATAGGAGACAGCAGCTAAAGAGTCCCCTGCCATCCCTCTGAGCAGTGGCAGCCCTTCCTCAGGTGCTCTGGCAATATGACGGCACCATGCTCCCATGGGGAAGGCGTGGAGAGGCTGGACGTGTTGACTGTTGAAGACAGTCACAGGACTGCCCTTTGGCCGATGTCCATCAATGGCGCCATGCCCGATTTGCACCAGCTGAGAAGCGGGCCCTTATTCTGCAGTGAAGCTACACAGATTGGCGCTGGCTGAGGATCCAGCCTTTTGAGGACAGATGGGGCTGGTGTGATCAAAGGCCTGTTACTCTCCCTTTTCCATTGCCCATGACCAGCATTCAACAAGGCAAGCATTAAGGGATGCATTAGTCCTAAGGCTTAGTAATGTTTTCCATTCCTTTTGTTAGTAAAAAGAACCTCAACTAAAAGCCCTTAAAGTAGATATCAGAAGATTTAATTAGCAGACATATACTGTGGGAAAAAATTGCACATAATTACCATGTGACATTCACTGGAAGTAAGTAAATGTTTTCATCTCTTAATAATTACCAGTTGACTCACTTACCCACACTATATTAGATCAAAATCCCTCAACACAGTCTTGGGGGTTTTTAACCTTGAGCTTCTAATAACATACATGCTGCCAAAAAAGCAGTCGGCTTAATTAAGGGACGACAACCTGGTGAGATGGTGAGGTGCTAACTTAATTTTTTTCTCTACCAACGTCAACATGTACTGATCAGACCCTCCCCATGCAGCCTGTAAATTCAAACAGGAGATAAGCAAACTATGTGCTTTGAGCAGCTTGTTCATGGAATTGAATCTTTTCTTCTACCTCTTAACAAACCTGTCCAAAACCAGGATCATGCTTTCCACTATTACAGGTTGATGCTCTTTAGTCTGGCACCCTCAGGACCTGACTGCCGAACCAGAGAATTTTCCGAACCATGGGAGGTCAACATTGTCTAGCAGCATTACCAACGCTTCAACTGCGTACTGGGCTCTTAGAAGACATGTAGGGGTAAATTAGAGCTAAATAACAGCACAGAACACTGAGAGCCAGGACTGGTGGCTGTAAACAACCTTTATGGGACAGCGGGAAACTTGGCCACACCCATGATAAATGGACATCCGGCTAACTAAGATCATTCCAAACCATGGATGTTTCTGGACCAGAAAGTGCCAGATTAGGGAGGTTCAACCTCTCATTTGTTGTCTGAGGTTATCTGAGGTCTATAGGAGCTGTTGGATGCTCAGGACTTTTGAAATAAGAGACAGGTGTCTATACATGAATGCAGGAGTTAATTATAATATCTTGCTCACATTTCTCCATTGAAAATGCATAATCAAACAACATTTGAGTTTATATAATTAGTGTTCATGCAGCTTGCCTGCTGGCGCACTGATAGATAATGAGGCACAATTGATCAGGCTTCACTATCTCCCGGTGCGTCCCTGTCTGTCTTTCTCCATCTGTTGCCCCTTGTTTTTGCGAGCTCTTTGGAGCTGGGCCTAGCTCTTTTTGTGTGTGTACAGTGCCTAGCACAATGGGGTTCTGACCCACAACAAGGGCGCCTAGAAGCTATAAGATAAATGATTTAATAAAAATCATTTTCTAGGGTTAGTCTGTGACACTTTGAAAATACGATTACAATGTAAAATGACCATTCAGAGGTGCCTCTGTCTGCAAAGGGAGAAAAAATACATTGAGATACTTGATACCTATGTCATTATCAACTAGTTTAAATCCAGCACACTATAGAAAATTAGAATATTTCGCTTTTATATGGCACTATTCATCGGTAGATCCCAAAGCACTTTCCAAAAGACACATGTAATTACCCACTTTATACTGATGGGCAAACTGAGGTACAGAACCATGAAGGCCTAGAGCCTCAACGGCACCTCACTCCCATTGAAATCAGTGGGAATTAGGGACCTAAATGCTCTTTGAGGATCTGGACCGAAGTAGTTTGACTAAGGTCACCCATAAGGCCAGTGGCAGAATAGGGACTAGAACCAATGTCTCCTTAGCACTCAAGAATATACAGGTTGAACCTCTCTAATCCTGCACTCTCTGGTCCAGCAACCTCTGTGGTTCGGCATGATTTCAATTATCCGGCTGTCCACTTCTCACGGGTGTGGCCAAGTTTCCTGCAGTCCCATAAAGTTTGTTTACAGCCACCAGTCCTGGCTCTCTGGCTGTGTCTAGACTACATGCCTCTGTCGTCAGAGGCATGTAGATTAGACACATAGGCAAAGGCAAATGAAGCCACGATTTAAATGATCGTGGCTTCATTTACATTTACATGGCTGCCGCGCTGAGCCGACAAACAGCTGATCAGCTGTTTGTCCGCTCAGCGCGC